TGAAGAAACCTATAGTCAACAGTCCACACAAAATCCTCATCCCCCAACAACTCTCTCGCAACTGCATCACCTGAATATGCGTGGGGGTAGTTCTCCCTTAGCTTTTGTCAAGAAAACCTAGCCAAACACATCCTAAGCTTCAACCAGAAAAGGAATAAAAATAATTAAAAATTTGTCCCTTTACATCATAATGATTCCCTTCTTTATAATTTCCTTGTCTAAGAAGTCTAATTAAATTCCACCTCTTACTTCAGAGTTTCACTTTTCAGAAACATGCGTCCGGACGCAAGTCTTCCACCGTCAGGACGCACTTGACAGTGAATGCCAAATCCTGGAAATCTCATCTGGCCATTCTAGCAACTCCGTCTGGACGCCATTCCATCATGCGTCTAGACGTGCTTGACAGAGAACTCCTCTTCAACTTCCACTGACTTCCCTTATGGTAGCCCTAATTTAGTTCAAATACCTGCACAATAAAAACATTCCATCCATTACTACCCTACATCAAATCTTTAAATAAATTAGTACATATATCAATTCATTGTATATAAATGACTAAACTTACCAATTTAATTAGCACATTTTCCACTCCTAATCAGCGGCATAATAAGTAAAAGTCTATGTGGCACCGGTATACCAAGTTCTCTTAGATCTATGCATAATGAGTGTGATTCATTAGCACGAAAAGTCCACTCTCGTCGGAGTCCAGTATAATACTCTTTTGGATTAGAAAATATCTCACCCTTATAATCATCATCTCGCTCTTGTAATAACCAAACTAGTTGATGGCTACGGTTGTTATCACTGGCTTGTGGTCTTGATGTAGACATAATGTGCAATACATGTGATATGAACTACCCCGAATTGTCGTATAAGCTCATTTGTTCACATTGCAGTAAATGTGTAGTCATCTTTATATTTGAGTTGGTCATAAAACATTGAAAAAAATGTGCAGTCAGTATGACTACACACTGTTATCTATTAGCGTAACCACACACTAGTACATGTCAATGTGATTACACATTGAGATGACTAATACATTAAAGTTATTAGACTCTGATTCACATTGATTTACGTCGATGATATATTCAACAACATCAGTTTTTTGGCATTGAACTAGTGTGTAATCACAGGATTTTGATTGTGACTACACACCAGTGCATTGAAATACAATGCATGGGCTTTCTCAAAATGGGCTATTGAACAAGAAACATGTACAACATAACAATTGCATCATTATCATTCATTGTGACAACACATTGTTTCAACGTTAATCATAGTGACTACACATTGTAAAAATGTCAGTTATTGTGACTACACAATGCTTTAATGTCATTTATTGATGTTGTAGACTGGTGTACTCATAAACATCATTTGCCTATAAGTTTGAGCTTATGTGTAATGTTCAATGTATAGAATTTAACTCTAAGCATGAATTATAGTCTGAGAATAGTGTTTGAAACTCTAGATTATTATTGGGTTTTAGAGGATAAGTTTTTTTACCCAAGGAATCCTTGCTTACGCTATTCACTAACAACTAGAAACACAATGATGGTGGAATGGCAATATTGTTTGATGGAAAAAGAAAATCTAAGCTTAGATTTACGTTCTTGTAACATAAGCAGGCCTCGACAAGTTGCTATTAGTATGTTTATTGTCACTCCTCAAGAATTAGAACGAGCATTGTTTCGCATTCGAGCTGAGAACAATCGAATGACAATCCGTTACAATCGGTACAATCTGCGCCATATTGCAAGCGACCGTGCTGCAAAAGAAAGGATAGAAGAAGCAATTTTAAGCTTCCAATTGAGTGGAGAAGCTGGATGTATTTCTGAAGTGGAGATGTCCGACAAAGATGAAGACCAATGAAGAAGTGTTATGCACTTTTGTATTGTAACATTTACACTTCAGTCGTCGTACTTGTGTTTCCAGTATGTTTCTATGAAATATGGTGTATTACTCCAATTAGTATTGTCCATCTAGATTTCAATAAATTGTGTTATGTTCTTCAAAAAATGTTGCTTATAATATTTGATAACTAATCTAAAATGCAGTAATGGAATTATACTATATCAAACTACAAACCCAAAGAATTTTAATATACAACACTAATCAACACAATTTATATACAATATAGACGAAAAAAATGGACTACGTCCAAACAAGGTGGTGGTCTTCTTTGTCACTTGGGTTGCTGTCCATCAGGAGGAACCAGTATATCTTGAGTCACTCCACCATCTACAGGATTATGTGCATGGTGGCAAGGATGACTGACTTCATGTCCACCTTTGTCTCGCTCTCTGTGTGAAAGTGATGGCTCATGTGTCACTTCCTCAGCAGGAGCCTCACCATCATCAGAACAATCCTCATATGGAATAAGAGAAGTAGGTCGTGTGGACAACGGTGGAACAATATGTGGAATAAAAGCCACATTGGAAAGTGATGTAGCTGTCTGGTCCAGTACATGTGACATAACTTCTATACCTACTAGCTTCGATGAAGGTGTGAATAGAGACATCGATACATCAACATGTGATGAGGGCAGTGGTGGACCACATGATATCATTGTAGGTGTCTGTGTAGAATGGCCAATCGATGGTGTAGCGGCATGGTCAACAATAGGTGTAGGAATGCAGTAATCAACAATTGGGACATATGGTGTAAGTGGACACGTTCCAGCAGTTTGGGGAACATATGCTGCTAATGAGCCTGCCTGTGATGATGTCGAAGTAGTATCCACGACCGAGGGAGATGTATGTCTATGTGTGCATGCAGTTGGAAGTCATGAAATGTGTACACCACGTTGGCATGCATACACTGGTGCTACTACTACTGACTGATGAATGTCTGTTGGTGGTTGCACAAGTGTTCAATGCTCAGAAATAGATGACAAACACATGTAGCTGAGATTCCCCATCTGGCTGATGGCCACTAAACAAGTCCACAAATTAGGTTGACCACTAACACTATCACGTGTTTTGTGATATATCTATGTCAGTGTCTGTTCCTACAGCACCATAAAATAATGATTTAAAATAAGATTACGTAATTTCTGTAACACATTTAATTTAACTACAAAGTAAACAACACATACCAACAACTCGATGATATTGCCAACTAGCTGAAAATTGACGTCAGGTCGTGGCATGGGTGGTTCGATAAGTAGACGAGTAATGCGTCGATACCACTCCATGTATGGATTAGTGGCATCCATCATGTCGATGGTAGGCTCGCCATGAACAATAGTATCCCATCGCCGCTATATGTTCTTTTCATTTTTTTGAGATATGAAAACCTTTCTATTATATCCAAAAAATTCAAGTCCAATATATTCAAGAGACGTGGTCATTCCAAAACATTATAAACGTAAGAAAAAGATAGATTTATCGTATTCACAAAACTCATTAAATTAACCAAACATTAAGTAATAATTAAATTAGAATTACCTAACTCTCACATACACAATACTTATACACACCTACAATAAAAGACACAAAACTACTCCTCCAATAAACTAATCCTCAAGAAACATATAATTCAAATTGACTAAATCAATAAATCATAAATATTTGTGGATCTACTTCAATATTAATCGGTTGATAGTAAAAATCAATATGTATATACAAACACTTGATCAAAAAAATTGATTTTAATTTCATTAACACAATCTATTTCATACTAATTGACACCAAATCTCCAAAATAATGGAAGTAAAATAAATTAACATACAATATTAATGTAAATAACCCTAACATTCATCAAATGAAGACACTATAAACCTATTTCACAAAAAATGAAAAATCAAGTTGAAATTTCATAAACTCTATTCAACACTCCAATTTTTTTATTTTTTTTTTGTTCAAAAAAAAATTGAAAACCCAATTTGAAAACAAATTAACCTACAAATTTCACAAAATAAACACTCAATAATAATCAACTCAACATGTATTCCATGCGATTAACAAAAACCCTAATATTTAAAATCACAAAAAATCTTATTGACTGAAATTATCACACAATCTATTTCATTAACACACAAATCTTATTCTAAAACAACACCCTATAAAAACCTATTTCATTCAACTGAAAGGAGAGTTACATGTTGTGGAGGTGGCTGTGGTGGAGGCATTGTCAGAGCAGCAATGGAGGAGTGGTGGTTGCACTGTGACACTGGTCTGAATGATGTTTGTGTGTGTCTAGGTTTGCAAACGTGGGGGTGATGGTGATGATTTGTGAAGGTGGGGGGATTGTGTGAATTTTCGAAGGTGGGGGGATGGTGGTGATGATTTTTGAAGGTGGGGGGTGGCTGTGGTGGAGGTCTTCTCAGACCAGCGGTGGAGGAGTGGTGGTTGTTGTGTGGCTAACATAAGGGTTCTGTGGTGGAGGTGGGGATTTTCGATGATGGGGGTCAATGGGGGTGGTGGGGGTATCGGGTTAGGGCTTCAATCTCAGAAAGTAGGGCAAAACAAAGAGAATGGAAGAAGAGAAAAAACTGGGTAGGGTGATTTTCGATGGTGGGGGTGGAGTGGGTGGTGGTAGGTGGTGGCGATTTCGGGTTAGGTTAGGGTTCCTAATTCAAAGAATGGGGAAATCAAAGAGAATGGAAGAGCAAAAAGAAAAGGGGAAATGGGAAATGGGGAGTAGATGATAGTGTTAAAAATACTGGTCTGAATGATGTTTTTAAGAAGACATCAATTCCACTAGCATTTTACATTATTAAATAGTTTTTTATCTCCATTTAAAAACGTCATTGTCAATAACGTCTTTTAGTGAAAAATGTCAGTTCAAATGATGTTTTGAAAAATAATTTAAAAACTATCCTCTTTTAAGTTTAAGGTTCAAAAACGCCATGGATTAGGGTAAAACCTCGTCAATGATAGCCAACTTTGGTCGATCAAAAACTTAATATATTCAGGTAGGGCAGACACCCAGATACACTAGATCCCAGGTGATTTCATCTTGATCGAACAAAACTAAATAAATATTTGAGAGAGAGAGAGATGGTGAATGTGTTTACAGTGGTGAAGCCATTGTTGCAAGGGCTGATGAAGCTAGTTGGGATGACACCCAAATTAGTGGAGATCGAACCAAGGACATTAATGAATTTCTGGGTCCCAAATGAAACGATCCAAAGGAATCAAAATCAAAATCAAAACCATACTGCATGGGATATTTTTTACAATAGTTTGAGACAGCGATCTCCAAACTGGCGAACCTGAAACAACAGGGTCAGAAAAAGGGGGTCAGGCAAGCACCCGACTTATCTCCTCCGAAACTTAAGTCAGTATAAGGTCGAAAGGTTTCGCTCAATGGACTATTTTTATGATTCAAGTTTGTGTATCTTTCTCTATTTTTCTGAGGAGTATTTATACCTGAATTAAAAATGATTGTCAAAGATCTCCAGTCTCATCTGGACATCTTACATCTGACACACCATTCCTCGTGGAATGAGTGTTTTCTACTCACGTCTACTCCTATTAAATGCTAGGAAAATGGGGTAAATGTTTGGCCAAATGCCGAGTATTTATGCGTCTCCCCCGAGTACCCAAATCCCCCAGATCAACATCCGACATCAACTAAGCATTGAATATTTGGGGAGAACAGTTCCTCGAGAGGAATCGATCGTGTCATTTCGGCACATCAATCATTAATGTTTAGTCATCATGACAGTAGGCCTAGACTCTCAAAGGATAAGTGCTGACAGGCGCGCATTTATTGGTCTTGTCACTATCACTCATTCTGTCATAAATGAGAGGTCACATCGCATTAAATACGATGTCAACTGTCGTATTCGACTGCTCCGTGTCACTATACCTCAGCTTATCTCTTCGGCATCCTTTGAACATCCCAACAACTTCATTATTTCACATGTGAACCTGAGGGTTGTAGAACCATCTAGAATCCTGCCACATACCAATCACAAAACCAACAAGCCTGCAGTGGTATTCGTTCATGGCTTCGTCGGAGACGGCATTATAACATGGCTATTCCAAGTATTGGCTTTAACCGGCAGGTACGCAGTCTACGTGCCGGACCTCCTCTTCTTCGGCGGCTCCACCACCGACAGCCACCACCGGTCAACCACCTTCCAGGCAGAATGTTTGGCCAAGGGTTTGAGGAAGCTAGGAGTGGAGAGTTGTACACTGGTGGGTTTTAGCTATGGAAGTATGGTTGGGTTTAAGCTGGCCAAGTTGGACCCAGGATTTGGTTGATTCTTTGGTGGTTTCCGGCTCGGTTGTGTTATTGACTGAGTCCATTAGTCGTGCTTTGCTGCAGAAGATTGGGTTCTCACGGTGGTCGGAATTTTTGTTGCCGGAGACCGTTGAGGGTGTGAAAGTTATGCTTACAGTGGGTACTCACAGGGTGCCATGGCTTCCTGATTTTCTTTTCAGAAACTTCTGGAGGTGCTTACTCTTCCTTGCACCCTAGCGTAACAATATTAACGGTCAATGAATTGAATTAATGAGTAATTTGTTATCGATTTGGATATAAACTACCCGAATGTTATTTTGAATAATAATTTGAAGTCAAGTTTAAATTCAAATAAAAGTGTGTGTTCAATTTATTAATTAGATGAGCCAAATTAACTCAAGTCAAACCCAAGTTTAAAAAAAAAAAAAAACCCAAAAAAGTGCTTATTTGTACAACAATCTCGTAAGGAATGAATGAAAAGAAACCAATTAGAATTGATTCGGTAATTAACATTACTTATGGAAATTCCTAATGTCAATGTCAATTATGAATCTTGCTTATTGATTGACACATGACAGGTTATGTTCAGCAACAGAAAGGAGAGAGCTGAACTACTGGAGGCTTTGATTATCGGTGATAAAGACGCAACTGCTACTACCTACCCCCAGGTTTGCAGCGGTTTTTTTTCCTTGTATTTTGGTTAAGCGGCTTCAAGTCAACTTAGGTAAATCTTGATTAATTTTTTTTCTCTCGGTCAAATGTAATTTATTTATGTCAGAATTAAGATATTTATAAAATATAATTTTTTAATAACTTAGCTATAAAAAAATTATCAAAATTTAAATTTAAATTTAAAATATCTGAATTTATGACATCTGAATTTAATAAAAACATGTCGTTGGTGTATACGTCAGTATCTAGCTGATATTTTGGACCACATTTCTAGCCCTAGGCATTTTGCTTGATTGAAATGACATACGCCATTGTCATATTGTGTTGGTAAAGGTTTTTTTGAAGTGGGATTGAATCGAATTTAAATCCCTTCTAATATAGGTTCGATCATAACCTATTCCAAGTATAACACGTTCGTATGAAAGTTGGTATAGATGTATATCTATCTTCCCTTTATAGATTCAATTGTCTATTTGTATTTAAAGGTTATAATTTAGTGTCATCATTGGTTATCTTATTTGCATTTTGTTTTTGCAGAGAATTCATCTATTGTGGGGAGAAAATGACAAGATTTTCAACTTGGAAGTAGCCCATAACATAAAAGAGTTGAGTCAATTTTCATATTGGATATATGATTACTTCAATTGTGTCTTATTTCTTTATCGTTTGTTCAAGTTGCCCATCATTTTCAATATCTAAAAAATATGCATATAATTTTTTCGTGGTTATGCATTGAAATTATACACCTAAAAAATATACGGTTCTAAATAAAATATAATTTATGCTTTATAATATATTATCCTACCTCACCATCATTAGATCAATTATCCATCCTCTTTAATCATTCAATACAATGACAGGCTAACCAAAAGCTCATTTATTTCTCATCAAAATACATGGTAATAAAATATAGGGTTAATAGTATTTTCGATCCTTAAAGTATGTTCGTTTTATTAATTTATTCCTCAATTTTTTTATTTTTTTAAATTTATTTGTTAAAGTATTCAATTTGTGTTCAAATGGTCCCTGCACAGACGGGCCATTAAATTTTTGACGAAAATGTTCATGTAATATCTTATAAAAGAATGACATTTTATCATTTCTGTCAAAAAAATTAACGGTTCGTCAACATGAATTAAAAATTTTCGAAATTAAATTGACAAAATTGATACATTGAGGACTAAACTGATAAAACGAACTTACTCTAAGGACAAAAAATAGTATCATCAGCACTAAAATATAACTTATGCTAATTAGACCATTTCAAACATGATCACAGGCAATTGGGAGGCAAACCCACCTTGCACTATATTGAAAAGGCAGGGCATCTTGTTGGGCTGGAGCGGCCTTTCATATACACTCGCCACCTCAAGAGAATTCTTGCATCCTTAGATGGAGAAAGGCTCCAGAAAATGAACTGACTTCTTGTAATACAAAGTTCAACCAGTTCTTGATCGAAACTCAAAATGTAAGACTGTTTGACAAATTTATTGATCTAATGATCGTACTCAATGTATAAAGTTACCGTCTATAATGGGTTTAAAGGAAATAACTCATGAGCAATCTTATCCTCATTTTAACCATCAACCCTGAACTTGTACGGATATATTTGTTTTGAGGAGAAGTTTGGAGTATCATTTTCAACCCATTCCACCCGCCGCCGTCATGGTGTAGGAAGGCATAAATCGTTCTTTATTTTCCAATCATTCACCTTGTTTGTTTACATAGTTTATAGGTTTGTGGGACCCAAAAAAAAGAATGACAATTAATGGTGATAATTTACAAAGATATTTTTTCATTTGTATATGATAAAGGTTTGAGAAAGACATTGGAGTAGTTGTGTGGGCTTGTACTGTCAATGCCTTTGTCACCGCAAAGGAAACAAGGTAGTAAATAAGGTAACGTATTATTTGGGCGTCACTATGCATAAATCATGTCACCACAGGACATATGGAAATCCAAATTATGGGCCGGCCATGAAGACAAGACATGATAATCTTTCTAGTAATATGTTACAATAGAAATCTAGGAAGGCAAAGACCTCTCTCTCTCTCTCTCACACACACACAGAGGTTTGCTTGGTGAATGCTTGCATTTTCTTTAATAGATCTGCTGATAAAGATGGAACTGCACCGTAGATGGGGCTTAAACCTTATTGCCGCTTTAGATACTTCAGAAGCCTGTCAAGCAAGAAATCTAATCTTAGCTTAGTGATCAACAATAGAACACACACACATACATACGTGTAAGAACGTTTATATTTTCTACTAATGGAACATACATTACTGAGTGAAAAGCGTCTCTTTCATTGGGGTGACATACTGTTACTAGAATGTAAAAAATGAACTTAATTTGCCAAATTAATGATGTGATAAAATATAGAATCATAATAAAAAAATCTAACAGTTACTATCACAACAATACTATTGAACAATATCACTACCAACAATACTATTCATAAGTGGGTAAAATATATGCTTATATTCAACGAGTTATGAGCTAGATTGGGTGACATAAAAGCCCTCCAACACACCCGTCTCCATTTATTGAAAAAGAACAATACTATACACACCAAATTTGTGCACCAAATCATTGCCAGTCATTAGATCAGTAAGGCTCATTATCCAACGGTTGACAATGATTTGGTGTACATTTTTTGTGCACAAATTTAGTGCACATAAATTATCCTTAAAAAAAAATAGAGACAGAAAGAAAGCAAAAAGGTTCGGTTGGCTTGTTGGATCAACCTAAATAGGTTTACGTAGATCTCGTAATTTTAGACACGACTCGTGAAACTGACACGAATTCGACTCGGATTTAGTGGGTTTTGGTGTAATCTTAACGGGTTCAGACAGTTAACTGGTTAATTCGGCAGACCCGTGAAATAAATGAATCGATTTTGTATTTAACCTATAAACTCGTTTCAATTTGTTTAACCCGTTTATTATGGTACTATAATTTTTTTTTAAAAAGTTAGGTCTCTCAACCTCTACCTCATCTCACACCTCTCATCTCTTATACTCATTCAAATTTAGTAGTCTTTTAATGTTTATTTTTTGTCTTTATTTTTTTGCTCAACCATGACTTATTGTCATAGTAAACAAGTCAAATATGTGTGATGTGTAGCAAGTTGATGATTTTTCCTATGTACTCGAAATTTTTTAACTTATTTTCTTATTTAGCGGGTAACACACGGTTTGTATCGGATAACACGTCTAATAAACGATTCGTGTAAAGGTGCGACAGTTGGACTCGTTTATATAAACGAATAAGGTATGGATGGACTATATTTTTGACACAAACTCGTTCCACTTGACACGAAACTGTTCTACTCGACTTGATGGTCAAGCCTAGGTTTACGTGTTGGAATCTGGGCCAGGCCGTGGTAGAACGGACCATTGGACAATAATCAAGATGGCCCGTTGCAAACCCCATCGGGTCGGCCTTAATAAGATGGCCCGAGTCCCGTTTCTATATACTATTACATGGTCCTCCACACAATGGACCTGGTCAGCCTGTAGCCCAAGGTCAAGCTCATGGGACATGGGCCTTTTACCCATTCACAATTTGAGTGAACGATAAGTGGCCCAGGTTAAAGCCCACGTTACTTAATTTGGATTCTTTAAAATAACATTATCAGACTTAATTTAGTAACAAAATCGGTTCCATGCAACATGACATGCAATCTCTAACACCGTCAACATTTTTTTTCAATTCAACGGCTAAAAATATTTGAATTAATTTAAACGTATTTCAACTAATTCTTTCCTTTCAGATTTGTAAGAACCATGTCTGTGACCATAACAACAGAAAACAAATTAATTAAGAAAAAACAAAATAAACGAAATGAAAAAAGTCTCTTTGACAGTAAATTTAAGAACTTGCATACAAGAACTATACGTACCTCAATTCGTCATCGGCGGAGCCAGTTTTATAGCTCGGAATCGGCACACTACCGGACTCGATTCGCCGGAGATCTTCCAGAAGTATCTCATAGAGCCTCCTAACTTCCTCCGCAGATTTGCCGCCACCCACCGCCCTGGCCACGTTCTGCCACCGGTCCGGCGTGTCCTTATCAAACTGAGCCAAAGCCTTCTCAAACAACTTGTTCTGCTGGGGTGTCCACGACGAACCACTCTTACGTGAACTCATAGAGCTAGACGCCATAACTAACCACCGCCGGTGACAAAGTGCTTTTGAGCTCAACAGCCTATAAATAATGAGATTATGAGAGAATGTAATTTACCCTCTTTTGGGGCGATTGGAATATAGATTATTTTAAGGATTGATCTAAGAGCATACCACTACACTCAGTCTTATCTCTCCAAAAAAGAGATTATTTTCATAATTGGAATTGAGAGATTATTTTTGTAATTCAAACTCATGATCTACGGGTTATAATAGAATAATCTTATCGTTGCACTAAAGTCCGTCTAAGGATTGAACTCAACCCAAAAAATGTTATAATTAAACCCAAAAAGGTGTAATTATTACTTCAAAAGTTTAATTATTTTAGAATCAATTAGTTCATTCTATAATGTTTGTTGCAAGTTAACTCAAAAAAACGTATTTTAGAACCGAAAAAGTAATAAATTATAGTACCGTACCTCTCTCAGAACCCGAAGTGAAGGAAGACTAGGTTAATGGGAGAGTATGAGGAAGGAGGTGGCTATGGGTGGTGCTTATAAACAGTGGAGGAAGATCAGATTGAGGAGTGGAGCCAGGAAGGGAATCTGTATTTGGGTAAAGTTGGGAAGTGGAGTGACACGTTTGCTTTGGAACCACAAGATAGAGAAAGACAAGGAAGGAGCAAGAGGGGGGAGGAGAATCTGCAGTATGAAAAGGAAGAGAACTCTTTTTTTGTTTATTTTTCTTTTTCTTTTTCTGAAAAATAAGTTTGATTTTCGAAAATGATTGAGAATATGCAGAGACTAGGTGCTAGATTATTGAATCTTTCCATAGGATTTGCATGCAGAAGTGTTTTCTTAAGAACAGCTTGAAGTTTGTTTTGTTTTGTTTTTTTCCTGAATAACAATATTGGGGAAGAAAATCCAAATCTCACCCAGAACAATGTAAGATAAAAAATTTTATAGTTAATCAACAGTTGGATTTTTTTTTTTCTTCCTAGGTTGTACGATAAATTATTTGAGAGTCAGAAGAAGAATCCTCTACTTGTCTAATAAAAATATCGTCACAAAAAATATTTGTACGATAAACATACGTTTTGCGGCAATTCATTCCCATAAAAAAAATTATATTTTCTTGTAGTTAAAGATTTTTTTTTGAAAGAAAATTATTTAGAAATTGGTGTAGTTCATATATATGAGTATAATTGTCATGAAATTTGAGGTGGTTTTAGACAAAGTCGAGTAAGGAGAGAGAATGAATCCCCTTTCATCTGCTTCTTAAGTAAGTAATCTCCATATCTTTTACGTGTCAGACATGAACACTACTAAGCCTTCATATGGCAGTATTTGAAGTTTTCAGATGCAGTGGTGGCTCACTGCTCACTGACATCATCTTTTTGGGCTGTGGCTTTGAGTACCAACACAGCCGAGAAATAATTCGGCGCAATTTAGACTTGCCTGTGGTATCGAAATTTAGAATTTTGATATTTTTATTATATTTGTAGGTATTTTTATTATAGTTATGAATATTTTTATTATTGTTGTGGTATCTTAAAAAGTGATAAAAGTAATTTTTTTGTACTAAAAGAAAATAATAAAAATATCCATCACCAACAAAAAATGATAAATTTTTTAAATGTAAAATGACCTATAAAAATATTATTTAATATAATAAATTTTAGAAATATGATACTAAATTTTTGTTTTGACTGTATCATAGTCAAATCCTGTTTAATTTGTTTCTGAACAACATTCCAAATGCCTTCTAACTGGCCACCTGAACTGAAACTTTATTATTTGTAGTTTTGTACATCATACATGTATGTTTCTTGAATCTTCTTCCTGTTTAGACTCTGTACTGGTGCTGCTGGTTTTCAGGTTTTATACATACTTTGACTGGAAAGAGGCGTGGTATACTAGAATACCAGTTCTCAAGCTGATTTGAATTGTGAATATTCAATCAAAAGTAACTTATTGAAAGCTTTACGAAAATACGGTACTTACAAGCTTATTTGTCAAACTAAATCATTGTAATTCCATGAAAGTTTTATGCTAAAAAACATGTTTCGAAAACACACTTTCAATGGTAAATTAAAAGCATTTTTTGAAACACTATCATTAAAAGTGCGCTATTAACAATGGACCATATAACGTTTTTTTTTTAATACTTAAAAGAGGAGGGCGATCAGTAGTTAATAACCCCTTGAGCATGACCACGAGGGTTCTCTATTGTGAAATATTTGGTTTGAGTCATAATTATTAATTCAGAAGGACAGTTCGTCACCATAGCACCATTAAAGTCAAACAGCATATTGCGTTGTTCCCGTAAATCGAACTCTATTTGATAACCACATGAAAGTCAAGAATAACTTAAACAGGTATGACTTACCACTCACCATAAGCTCAGATGGTATGGACCATAACATGTTGACAACTAGGCCACTGTACCCTTTTTGGCACCCCATTGTCAGCTGCGATTGAATTAGGTTACAGTTCAAACGTGCTAAATTATGATTCAATTTTTCAACTTAGAAGTAATCTAAAAGGCTTAGGACCGATCCCAAATGTTTCAGAATCAATCTAAAATCTCAATTGTAAAAATCTAATCAGAATTATCACTTGTTTTCCTTTCAAAAATCTAAGTGGAAAACAAGTTTTAGTTTACCAAATTTACGTGATTTATGGACAACTAAGTGTATTCAAAGTTTATGTTACAACTACGAGTTTATAGAATACATGGCCAAGACAAGTGACAATAAAAGATTGTTGAAATGTCGTCGCAATGAATATAAGACATAGACAAGGCGGTATCGAATCTTTATCAATCACGACCATACGTTTGGTGAATCAATCGTCTTTGGAACCATAGCACACAAAGATGCAGTGGTCCAGTGAGCCCGTGATCTGATAAGGAGATTTCAGAGACACAAAATAGAACCGAAACAACAGGCTGCCAAATATCTATAAAACAAGACACTTTTAAAGTTTCTATATTTTCTTTTCTTTTTTACTTTTATTTTATTATTTTCACTATTAATGGTTAAAAATAACTCATGATAAGATGTAGGACTCACAAGAAATTTCGATAAAGTACTAAAGTGGTACCAGTGTTCTCCTGTTTGGCAATGTTTAGGTTATAATAGAAGGATGCATTAATTAACTCTAAGGATAACTTCAGTGATAACAAAGACGAGCTGACAACCACTTAAAGTCAGGACATGTTAAATTTATCTTTATGAATATCCTAATTCCGACGTGGATAACTCGTTTTTGACTAAATTGGAGAGAAATTAGTCGAGATGTTCATAAGTTGACTCGAACACTCCTGACTTTTAAAACAAGAGAGAGAGAGAGAGGATGCATTAATTTGGTAATAAAATAATCAAGGGCTCACATAATTCATGTTTGTTTTATTTATAACTATGAGATTAAACAATTGGACTTTTCTGGCCTGATTTGAATAGTGAATTTAAGTTATTAAACCTCGTATATGAGGATTTAAATAAGAAAAATACTATGTAACTCAAATTTGTATTCTAAATGAAGGGGCTATTGGATGAGTAGGTCTCATCAACTTTTTTAAATGGGACCCATTGATCCCTTGCATTTGAGATATAAATTTGAGTTGTAGATTTAGAATATTCTTTAAATAAACACATCTTGGGTGATATTGAGAATGATCCAAATTTGAACCATTGGGATTAGAGTTTAAAAGTACCTAAAAATGTCGTTGCATTGAATAAAAATTGAGTTGGAGGTCGCATTATGAGGCTTACATATTCTTCTATTACTATCCACTAAATTTTGAAACTCACCAAATGAGCTCTTAATGTATAACATAACATGTAAATTTTATTTTACTTTCCTAACCAAAAGGTATTCGAGATCAACACCCGCATGCAGATGCAAAGAGGCTGTTTTTGCACAACAGAGCAACATTACTTGTGCATCAAAACCACCCTCTAAATACCCAAGTATATATAAAACAAATGATAAGACGTAGATAACAAGTGGTTGAGCTTAAATTTTGATAATACATAAGTCTCAAGTTTAATTTTTTTTTCACACTTTTTAAAGTTAGCCAACCTTGTCCCTTAAGGGACATGCTCTCAACCATTTTAAGTTACAGTAATTAGTCACTGAATTTGAGAGAATAGTCAGCGTAAGCCTCAACACCAAAAAAAATGAATAGAATTGATCAACATGAAAGCATTGAAAGGTAAACGTTGTTGCAAAGTCATAGTTTGAAGACCGCTTCACAAAGTGTATCTCGGATGGCATGCAATGGTTAAAAACTAGTAACCCCAAGATAGAATAGTGGAGAAAGAGATGAGGGATAAATTTAGTCGTCTTAAGCTTTAAATGTGAATATATTTTTGATTGAGATTATGAGAGATTTATTCTTTTTGAATTCTCTATTTTCGATATGAATAACTTATTTTTGATCAAATTAGAGAGGGTATTAGTTAAAGTGCACATAAATTATTCGGATACCTCTTATTGTAATGAAAAATTTGTTAAAAGCCTATTAATTATTCCCCCAACTCTTTCTAGAAGAAGGCTAAAGAGCTGATGAAAAGTGGTCCTTTTGATTGAATTGATCTTTCCTCTTATCAACTATGCCAACCTTCGGAAAGGTATATGCCTTTGGTGGCCATGGAGCTTATCTCCTTTCAAGGGACACCATTTTCCTGGAGTTGCTATGGTCCTTCCTAACAACTAGGGTTGTCCACAACAAAGTTCAACTTTGGATCATCACTGCAAATTTTGTGTCCCATAGCTGGCTATGTACGTAGCCTCATTGTCGCAGAATCCAACTCCAGATCTTTGATAGCATTACTTTCTTCGAATACTTAGTTTTAGGTATCAAAAAATTATTTTTTGATATTATAATATAATTTATTTTCGTCAAATCACTACAAGAAAAATGTTTTTTAGCGGCAAAAAAAATCGTTGCTAAAAATGAATAATTTGCCGCTAAAAGTTTTTTGCGTCAAAAAAATTTGGTCGTCAATTTGTCTCGGCATGCTCGCTACTGAA